TACTGAAGTTAATCTATCGATCGACTTCATTATAACCAGCCTGTCAGTTTTTTTTCATTCAACCACTGCTGGCAGTAATAGCTGCCAGCAGTGATTGTCATTGTATTCTGATGGCTAGGGAACCTCCTGCTGTCAGAATACAATAGCACAGTGGGGGGGATTTACTAAAACTGGTGTTCTCAGAATCTGGTGCAGTTCTGCATGGTAGCCAATCAGCTTCTAACTTCAGCTTGTTCACTGAAGCTTTGGCAATAATACCTGGAAGCTGATAGGTTTCTCTGCAGAGTTGCAACAAATTTTGTACTCTCCAGCTTTAGTAAATAACCCCAAATGGGAGAGATGCCCCCTCCGACACTGACTGTGTTGATCTCCTAGATTGTAAGCTCTAATGAGCAGGGCCCTTTTTTTCCTCTTGTACCAAATTGTATTGTAACTGTAATGTCTACCTTCATTTTGTAAAGCGCTGCGCAAACTGTTGGCGCTATATAAATCCTGAATAATAATAATAATGGTGGAATCAAGCAATTTTCTTTCCTTTAACCCGTGGTTGAAGGAAATACATAATGCATGGCCTGCCTTGCTCAAAACTGCCTGACTGTATGGCCCGCATATCTCCTACATTTCAACCTAGATTTATAACATGGGAAAGAAATGTTTTTTTATGCACTGTGCATTGGGTATAACGTATATGATATATAATAAAGCACATATCTCAGGATCTAAACAAAAGGAGCTGTAATAATAAAATTGAGGTGATATCACTAGCTGTTCTGCTTCTAGAAAACAGAATGTTAACCCTTGCTTTATGAGCTAATTCCCTGCAGATACAGAAAATTGCGATATGTTCGGCACTAAAACAAGCAGTGCTCTAATTAAATGTACACAGTTCCATACGTGAGTCATATATCTATGTGATCACACGTGGTGTCTATCTAAGCCGCCATCAGCGCTCTCCATGAATGAACTTGTGAACCCTTATTACTTGCCACTTATCGACTCAAGAACCAGAGTTGTCACCCAATCACGCATGTTATTCTCCAAAATAATACTAATAAGTGAAAACAAATCTAGGATATTGTTTGGTGTTTAGCCAACCTTCTCCAATTCTCCCCAGAACCGCAGTCAGTTTCCATGGGAATAACATTCACATGAAACTTGTAGTGGCAACCACGGGTGCAAATAACCAAATGATTCAAGTTAATTGCATTTACCTCTAACAACCATCCAATTATATTATGCAAACTGCAGGCAGGTGCAGTACAATTGTGATAACATCTGTTTGTAGCAATACAACTGGCTATTATGTTGTCTCATTGTTACATAAGGTATGTGGTGAGGTATGTAAATGTGGGGTCACCTTAAAGGGAAACTAAAGTTATTTTCTTATTATGTTATTATCGTAGGGTTTTTCTTAAAGCTGGTACGTTTTACTTGATTTACGTGCTCCACTTGCCTGATTATATATTTTCTGGTGGTTACTTATTTACCAGAAACTGCAATGACTATCCTTGATAAAGTGGAACTAAACCCTTCTACCCTTTACAGCTAAGGAAGCTTCCATCTTGGCCTCTGTTTTACCTGCAGTTACCATAGTACTGCACATGTGATCAATTATGACGCCAACCAATTGCTGGCTTGACAGTTCGGTTGAGAGCAGAAGAAACTGTAAAAAATATTGCAGTTCAGTTTTATGCACCAATTCACAAAAAGAACATTGGGGAACTGGAGAAAGTACAGAGAAGGGCAACCAAACTGAGGCACGGAGGAGCTCAGCTATGAGGAACGATTAGAGGAACTGAATTTATTCTCTCTTGAGAAGAGGAGATTAAGGGGGGATATGATCAACATGTATAAATACATCAGTGGTTCATATAGTGAACTCGGTGTAGAGCTATTGACCCTGAGGTCATCACAGAGAGAACAAGGGGCACTCTTTACATCTGGAGGAAAAGTAATGTAATCTCCAAACACGGAAAGGTTTCTTCACAGTGAGAGCTGTGAAAATGTGGAATAGACTCCCTCAAGAGTTGGTTCTGGCCAACTCAGTGGATTGCCTTAAAAAAGGCCTGGATTATTTCTTAGATACACAGAATATAACTGGATACTAACATTTATAGGTAAAGTTGATCCAGGGAATATCTGATTGCCTCTCGGGGGATCAGGAAGGAATTTTTTTCCCCGCAGGAGCAAATTAGATCGTGCTTTGCTGTTTTTTTTGCCTTCCTCTGGATCAACTGTGGGTATAGGTTTATAACTTTTTTTTTTTTTTAATGGTTGAACTGGATGGACTTTTGTCTTTTTTCAGCCAGACTAACTATGTAACTATTCACCACATGCCATGAATGTAGCTGCTTGGGAATCAGATACACTGTTTATTTCTACTTTTAGGCCCCTTTCACATGGGGCGGACTCTACTGTGCTTAGTGGGGGATCTGTCTGTTGATCCCCTGAGTAGACCGGGCGGATGACATGTCTGTTTTCTGCTTCACTTATGCAGAGTGGACACAGACGCAGCCCACTCTGCTCTATGGGTGGTCAGGTTTAAACGGACTGACTTCCCTCCGATCCAGTCCACCCAGGCGGAGGGAAATGGATCCCCTTCCATTTTTTTAGAGGATCAGATCGGATTGGAGGTAGGTGGGTGTAAAGGGATACAAGTCCATTTACATCCATTGCTCCATAGAGATGAATAAAGAGTCTGATGGGGTCCGCCTGAAAAACGGACAGGTGGGCCAAATTGGATTGATCACCTGAAAGTGGCCTAAATGACTGCTTAAGGCAATCAGTTGTATTGTAGACTACCCAGAACATATTTTATTTTCAGTAGAAATCTATTACCAGACTTTCTTCAACAGATGTGTAGTGAGATAAAGGAAGCAGTCACTCTGCTGCGTTACAGAGCAGGAAGCCCTGGAAATATATATAAACTATCTTACTGCCAAAAATCTGTTCAGCCAGCCTTGTGATTCAGGCAGGCCTACCACACAGTTTAGCCAGGTTACAGACCTCACTTTTCTTTAGGGTCCTTAAGCAATACAGCTCAGTCTCCAGCCCATCTCTGAGTGTGCATCACTCAGAATTCTGCCTCTCTATCTCTCAGTCCTGCTGTGCTGGGGATACTGGGAGTTAACATAAAGAAAAACTGAAACATTTATACTAGCTACTATATAAAAATACATTTAGAAATACCTATAATGGTTTTGGGTCAATTTCTCTTCTTTTTCATTTAAACTTTATAAGAGCCTAACCAGTTCTATATTTTTTTACTAATATATTTATTTTGCAAACCTTGAATACAGGGTGCACCAATGACACTAATGATGTTTTAAAAAATGCCCGAACAGCAGAAGCTGTTTGGTTTCCGACTTTCTCCATAATCGAAAATCTGCATGGTGCCCTTGGAATAGAGCAGGCAGGCTGGGAGAGGGTTGGGAACCATGTATTTGACTCAAGAAGGCTGATATACCAAAGAATTTGATTCACTTCAATTATCCTATCATGTACAGATACAATTAAAAAAAACAAGAATTTATTTTTCACATTATTTGATAGTTGAAGTGAATTTCATCCTTTTTTGAGTGAAGATTCCCAACTCATTTAGCTTATTAGCTTCATTCAGTTTTGGTACTTAAGCTATTCAGCATTATAAAGAAGAAGCATTTTTTCAGCAAAGCAGTCAAGGTCAGCTTGGTAAACTTATACAAAAGGACATCAACAAAATGGTGTCCATCTGCACACAGATGCCAGCTCGCTGTTGCATAAATGTGAATGAGATGGGTAAAAGATGGCCTCAACTCCTGTTCTCCACCTGTAGAGAACTCCCCAGATGCATTTCGTCCTTTTTGGGGCTTAATTATAGAGGCCTAGAGACCTGTCTTTTGGCTAGAAACGTGCATGTGAAATATTTACTTTCAATATTTATAAAATATTTTAAGACACTTATTTTTATTATATATATATAGATAGATAGATAGATAGATAGATAGATAGATAGATAGATAGATAGATTGTACGCTCTCATAAGCAAGGCCTCCTAACCATCATGTATTGTATTGTAACTCTACTGCCTCCCTTAACGGGCAAGGTGGAGGGATGAGTTGGGACATCATCTCCCCACCTTATCCAATCAGAGAACTCTTTGCATTCATTCAGAAAATGGGGCTTAATTGTAGAGGCCTAGAGATCTGCCTTTTGGCTAGAAACGTACATGTGAAATATTTACATTTAATATTTATAAATTATTTTAAGACACTTATTTTTATTATATATATATATATATATATATATATATATATATATAAATATGGGTAGATTGTAAGCTGTCATAAGCAGGGCCTCCTAACCATCATGTATTGGATTGTAACTGTACCGCCTCCCTTAAAGGGCAAGGTGGAGAGATGAGTGGTGATGTCATGCTCCCCACCTCATCCAATTAGAGATCTCTTTGAATTCATTCAGAAAATTCAAAGCATTCTATGAATGGCGCCCTTGCCGAGCTGCCGACCTCCTGTGTTCACAATGCAGAAGGCTAGACACTCGGCACAGGACCCAGAAGTAGGTGGAGATCACTGCAGTAGTCTACTTCAGTGATTTCCCACTTCCAGGGGCATCAGCCAGGTATGGTATATACCTAGTTACATTGGTCCAAGCTGGAACAATGTAACTATGTATAAAAGTGATTTCCTCTTTAATTTTGTAAAGAATACTGCAAACTGTTGATGCTAAACAACTCCTGTATAATAATAATACATACAAAATACTATGCATTCCCTGTAATCTTTATTTAACCATTACATAACTGGACCAAACAGGAGACCTTTACCATGCCACAAGCTGATATGTTGATTTGTTCAGCTACATCATTGCATTTTAGAATAAACCATTTTTATTGAACAGTGAAGGGTAAATGGTGGACTTTATTCTTTCCTTTCTAAAAAAAAAAAGTATAACAGATTATGCATTTATATTTAAACGCTTTGTTTTATTTGATGCATTTTTAGGAGGAAGAACCAGGCTGGAAAATGAAGCCAAGCCAGTTCTTGCCAGACATAGGGTCTTCACGCCACACATATGAAGGTAATCTATCTTTGAACACTGTTCTGTAAAATGAAAACTGACTTTTGGCTTACGGAGTACTTTTCCACTGTTTAGGTGAGAATGGGCATGAAAGAAGGATTTGCATCTCTAACTGCTCTTACACTTTTCTTCTATTGTCCATGTCTGCTTTCTTTTCAGCTGTTTGGCAAAATCGAGATGAGTCCTGGAATCTTCACCAGACACATGACTCTGAGCTCATAAAAGAAGAAAAGAGGAAGGAAGTAGAAGAAGAGATTAGGCTACAGGTTTGGCTGAAGTTTGCTTCTCTAATCATAAATACTTGTCACCTGAGACTGGACTTGGACGTTTTGTTACTGCTCCAAGCGGAGATCCTGGCACCATACCACCCAGCATTACAATGGCTGGGGATAACGGTTACTGCTTTGCATTTCATATTTTTGCACACTTTGTAGAGAGCATATGTATCTTCCCTGCTTTTTTTAAAACCCCCTGATTTGTGTGCGTAGAAAGCAGGTTTTCCCTTTTCATTATTATAATATTTAAAAGTATGAACTCATATCTCATGTATGAACAGAGGAGCTTTAATTTCCCCCTGTGATATTTTCTATATAATGATAGGTCGATGAGTTGATGAGACAAGAGTTACAGAACCTGAAACTGTCTGTGGACAGAGACAAAAACAAGAAGAAAAAAGGGAAAAAAGGAGGAAAGGTAAGTGACAAGGTCTAGGTTAACCACTTTCCCTCCAAAAGATCAACCCCCCTCCTGGCCAGGCCATTTTTTGTGATACGGTACTGTGTCAATTTAACTGACAATTGCATGGTCATGCAACGCTACCCAAATTAAATTTATGTCCCTTTTTTTCCCACAAATAGAGCTTTCTTTTGGTGGTATTTGATCACCTCTGCATTTTTAATTTTTTGCTCTATAAACAAAAAAAGACAGACAATTTTGAAAAAAAAAACAATATTTTTTACTTTTTGCTATAAAACATATCCAGTAAAAAAATGTACAAAATCAAATTTCATCATAAATGTAGGAGAAATTGTATTCTGCTATAGGGCAGCGGGGAACATGATAACTGCTTATAAAGGACTTGTCTTCAGTCCCACTTAAAGGCAGTGGCCTCATACATATATAGAACTTGTGTTCTGGAAATCTTTGTCATGCTTCCAGTGTACTACAGAATAATGAACTTGTATGCATGAGGCCTTTTTAAAGTGTATCTACAGTCAATACTCTTGCAGCTTGGTGTGACAGGCAGTAAGCACACAGAGTCCCAATTTGGCATAAACAATCTATTATAGAAATGTTCAGCAAGTACAAGCAGGCCCAGTGGGTAGGCTCACCCATCCAGTGCCACTTACAACTAAACAGTGGTGGGGCAGTGGTCTGAAGACCCAAAAATGCCAGCAGCGTCTGCCACAAGCAGTGGAATGTGGGCTTGCCAGTCTAATCCATGGGTAAAGCTTCCTGAAGAGGTAGACGTAGCCCCTGCACTTTCTCTACTCCTTTAGAACCTGTCCCTATCTCTAAGCACTGTCCCTGGCAGATGGAGAACCTATCCCTATCATGCCAAACCTGAGAGTCAAAGTCTTATATAGATTCTGAGTGATGTGAGATGGCGGCCAGAGTCACATGGTGCATCAACATCCAATCATGTGACCAAGGAAATCATAGAGAAACTGAGTTTTTCTCAACTTCCTCCTACATTTGCATTGCCGCTGTAGTCAAGACTGCACCTGCCTACAGACAGGGTGTGTTTAAAATCCCGTAGTTTTGTTTTTTAATTTTGCCTGCCTACTGTCCTCCTCATAACTTCCAGATCTGAAGACGCTAAAGGAAAATAGAAGACATCTCTTGAAACAACAGTTTTCATTTGAGTAGGTGTCCCTATTTGCAGATTTCATCCTACCTACTCTTTGGGTGGGCAACCCTAGAATGAAGGATTTCCTGTTACTCTCTGTTACAGAGCAACTTTATCCAGAGCATAAAGAGTGGAGACAAAAACAGCAGGAAACAAAAATTGGCAGAGGTTCTAAACTTCCCCACTTAATCTAAGGCTCCATTCACACCTGGGTGTTTTGGGATCATGGCAGAATCTCTGTGATATTGCCCACAATCTCAAAACTCACTACAATCACAAAGCGCAGGTTCAGGTGCTTTTTTTTCCAATGGCACCTAAAACACAGTATGGTTTTGGCGTGATTGTCTTGCGATTTATTGTGCCAAATAAGGAGAGAGGAGTGTCAAGATCGCATGATCGCCACCACCAACATGCGACAATCGCACGACCGCGACCAACAATAATACGTCACGCCAGCAGCGTCAGACCCCAGACCTTCTCACCAAACTCGTGACCGAAGGACCGGCCGATCTAAAACCGTGGTGTGACGCGCATAACAAGGCCACACCCAGCTGCACACTGCACAGCGATTTCCAGCTAATGGGCTACAATCGGTGCCTGCAGCCTGAATGCACTTGTTACTGGGTCGGGTTAATTACACAACTAACCCTCTACTGCCACCACCACTTTCGTCGGAGACTGGGAAACTCCCGTTATCAAATATACATTATAATGATTGAAAAGTCGCCTGTCCAATACGGTCACCGCAGGCCAATTGGGCAGAGAATTAAACAAACACAGTAGCGTCTCTTCAAAAGGCAGGAATTCGTGAATTGCCAGTAAGCGCTTAGAAACAGTTTAACACTTTCAGAAAGAAAGATTTATTACTAAAAGAGTCAAACAGGTGCAATAAAATATTTACAGAAAAAGATGTAACTAAGATATATATCTATATATACACATATAAAGGTACAGCAAAGAGATAATAGGAAGGAAGTTACAGGGTTAGGTTACTTGCCAATATGCCTTGGTTTGTAAGCAGATCCAAGTTGCAGAGCAGGAAGGGTCTTTGATCTCCTCTGTTACAATGTTAAGATCAGGAGATGTGTTTAGCTCAGCCTTAGGCTTCTCAGCCTGTCTTTTTAAAGGGGGGGGGCGGCTCTGAACACTGGCCACTACGCTGTTTTGGGAGGGGTCAGTCGGGAGAACTCTGAATTAGAACCAACATCTGTCATAATCCATGACATGAAACATAGGGGAAAAAACCGACTTGAGGAATGTTTATTTCATTCTGTCATCTTTAACTGTTAGGTTTTGTGAGGTTAAAATCTCTTTCAATTTCGGGGAGAAACTGCCTTATCTGTTTTTTAACCTGGGTTGACCCACACCATCTGTCAGGATATAACTTTGCCTCTCAGCATGGAAGGGGGTAGGGAATGAAGGACTGAGGAATACTTCTAAATAAAAAAAAGGGGAACTCCGCGTCCCACTCTGATGAGCAAGTTTGCTACAGGGAGCTTCTGTTGGGCAACAAGCTGCACGTGATGCGATTTGCCTTGATTGCTGTGCAATAAATCGTATGTCAATCGTAGTAAAATCTGCACCGCATTTTGGATGCAATTGAAAATAATGGCACCTGAACCTGCTTTTTGAGATTGTAGTGTGTTTTGAGATTGTGGGCAGAATTGTAGCGATTCTGCTGCGATCCCAAAATGCCCAGGTATGAATGGAGCCTAAAACTAAAAACAAATACATTTTGTACAATTTGTCTCTATGTAATATATATATATATATATATATATATATATATATATATATATATATATCTTTAACAGCAAATTTTGCATGCCAGTTTGTTTATTTTAAACACCTTAACTTAAAATATATTCTAATCATAGAAAAAGAAGAAAGGGAAGAAAAGTGGTAAAAGAAAGAAAAAGAAGGAAAAAGATCTAACTCCAGACAGGTATGTGCCCACATTTTGTTGCAATAAATTAATAACAGTTTTTAGGGATTCCACAGGGTACAAGCCTTAATTTAACAAATTGTGTAATGCAGTCTGCTAAATTTGTAAATACATTAATCTTGCAGTGGGACATTTTTCTGCACTTTTTATTTCTATAGCATTGTAACATCTCCCCAAAATCGGGGGTACTCCAATTTTGAAACAGTTACCACAGTTATTATGGGTGCTCTGTGATCTGCCCCTTCCCTCTATCCTTATCTCTATATAGGCTGGTAGACAGTGGTGTATTTAGGTTTTGTGCTGCTGTAGGCAAACACAAAAATCATCTGCCCCCACGGACACCAACCCACACCCCCCCTTCCCCCTCCTAGGGAGAGAGCCTGACATTGACCAACAACACCCCTGTCTTCCTCTCGAAGAGCCTTCCACTATTCCCCCCCCTCCCCCAGAGATAGAGAGAAAGACACTCATCTTCACAGCCGCGGACATCCCCAGGAACGAGAGTCAGGCTCTACATACACCATCAGGCAGCCTGCATCCTTTCTCGGATCCCACCTGGTTCCCATAGCGTGCGTGTCCTTTCTTTCATCCCTTCTTCTGGGGGGAGGTGCCACCCTAGGCAAATGCCTTGTGGTAAATACACCCCTGCTGGTAGGGCCGCTTTTAGCACTTTGTGGCAAGTGGAGAGATGAAGAAAGTTGGAAAGGGCTGGTAACATTGCTACGTGGTGGCTCTTTCTGTTGTACAGCAGTCTAGGTTTTCTGGGTAACAGGTAAAGAAGAGTGCATGCAGGTACCAGGTTGTGGATCTATCAAGCCACGGGCAGATTTGTATGTTTAAAAAACCAGGTAAACTCTCAGGTAGCTAAAGACATAGTATTGGGGACAGAAGAAACTAGCAATATCAAATCAGTTTATATCACTGACTGTAGATGGACAAATGCAGCAGGCTTTAGGGAGATTTAGAATTCATCTGAAATCCTTCTGATTTCCTGCACAGGTACTTCAGACTTGTATATGACCCCCTTCTAAGCTGTGTAAATCTGTTTTTTTGCATTTATATTGACTTGAGAAAAGAGCAACTGTGGCATGTACAAAGCCTGTGTCCACAAACCCCTAACCAAGATCATTGGGCAGCACAGTGGCTAAATGGTTAGCACTTCTGCCTGGCAGTACTAGAATCATTGGTTTGAATCCCAACCACAGCACCCCCTGCCTGGAGTTTGCATGTTCTCCCTGTGCCTGTGTGGGTTTACTCCGCTTTCCTCCCACACTCCAAAGACATGCTGGTAGGTTAATATGTTCCTGTCTAAATTGGCCCTAGTATGTGTATGTAAGAATGTGAGTTAGAGACCTTAGATTGTATGCCCCTTGAAGGTTAGAGACTGATGTGAATGTACAATATGTATGTAAAGCGCTGCGTAAATTGACAGCACTATATAAGTACCTGAAATAAATAAATTGTTTGCTAGCCTACAGTTCTGCACAATAGGTTAATCAATTAGTTTGATATCCCCACAAGGTGGTACTATGGAAATTAATAATAGCGTAAACAATGCCACATCCAATATTTACTGAAATATTCAATAGAGGAAAACAAATTTGTGACTGATGCCTCCATCCATTTTCTTTGTTTTTTCCTTTATTGAGTATTTCTGTACAATAGGTTGTTTATACACAAGAAAGTTGTCAGGTCTGGCTAGTGTTGTCTTATGTCCGTCTTACGTTTAAAGCATATTAAAAATGAAAAACAAAAATTGATAGTTTTGCAGCTTACTGGTACAGATGTGGCGGCTGTATTCTTTTTCATTTTTCACACCTTTTTTTCCATTATGCCTTCCTGTTAATCTTGCCATCGACTCACTTTCTATTCTGACAACTGTCACCCTACAATGAAGTATGTCAGGGCTACATAACACTTCTCTCTCTCTTCTACATAACAGGGGAAGGTGTTTTGTAGTTTACAGAGATAGCAGAGAACAATGCTAACTGATAACAGTCCAGAGGTAGAGACTACGGGATGTTATCATCTCACAAGATGAACAGCTACTTTTTTAGCACTTGTTGAATAGCAATTGAATAGCAATACTAAAACACTTTCAATGGTATATTTAACAGATCAAAGGGGAACAAGTGAAAGAAAGTTATTGTTGGAATTGACATACACTTTACGTTAGTCATAAATATGACGTTATTGTTATTTGTCACACAGGACCATTGATTCGTTATACGAGGAACTGGTTACTGAAGGTCTTCTCATAAAACCAAAGCCTGTCAAGATGTCAGATTTCATAGGTAAAGCATTAGGTCTCCTAATATTGACTGAAAGCTGCACTCTGGGGAAAAATAGAATTTTTCTTTACAATATCAGCTATTTCTATTGATGCCTGCCCCATGTGATAATAATGCTTCCAGAAAATTCCTACTTTTATTCAGCTTGTACAGTACAGTAAGCACCAAACATCCAATGTTGAGACTTATGCTCTGGTTGCAGTACAGTTTTCACAATGGGTTGCTTTCCACTTCAACCAATCAGAAAGCGACTTGTATTCTTTTGGCTAAGTACAAGCCTTTCTTTCAGTGGATGAGGGGAGACTGTGATATTCATTCACACCTCCTCCAACATTCATTCATTTTATTTACAATTTCTATCCCATGCTAGACAAATGACAACTTGAGTTTCATTGTTTGATATGGGTACCAACATATTTGTTTGAGCTGAAGAGCTGTTTGTAAACTTCTTGTATGTATTCTGCAGCTGAATACAGTTATTTGGGCACCACCCTACGCCAGGCTGACATTGAGCCCATGCCATCCCTCAGTGATGTCAAGCAGCTGCTAGTCTTGTATGGAGTTCTGCCTTTAGGTGAGTTCAGAATATATCCCAATGTTTACTGGTGTATTGTTGATTGTTATTCCTGGATAACAGTACAGGCTGGAAGAAATGGACAAGATATACCTGGAACTGGCACATAAGAGAAGCATCAAAGGAAAGTGTTACATTAGAAGAAAAATTAAAAACTTGATAAATCACCAGCAGGGGCGGACTGACAACTCAAGGGGCCCCCGGGCAATAGGGGATCATGGGGCCCCTGTGCCCTTGCCCAAATTCAAAAAAGCCTATGAAAAAGGTACCAGGGGCATCTCATGGGGCCCCCTACTGACCACGGGCCCTCGGGCAGTGCCCGAGTTTTCAAATGGTCAGTCCGCCCCTGATCACCAGTTGAAATCCTTTTGCTTACCTTGCTCCGTTAAAAGCAGTTATTAAAGTTGTTTTCTGAAAATCTTATTCTCATGAAGGTTTGTCCATTCTGAAAATGACATGAATTAAGGCATATTATCACATAATAAATAACACTTTAAATATCAGGTGATACTTGTGTGTCCAATCACATACTGCACTTTTACTTACCTCCATAGCGCCAAAATTCAGAGGGATAAGGTGTCACGGTACGGTCTGTTGGCAGTTGTCCTCAGCCTTTCTACATGCAGTAAGATTTATGTAGTGCTTACAAATCATAATCCGACCTCCTAGATTTATTCCAGAGAAGCAATCATGGAGCTCATATGTTCTGTATATGTAAGGAGAAAGTTTTGGAACCTGTCTTCATGGCCGGTCTCTACACAGAACCCTTCAAAGTAAATGAAAAGCAATACCATACATTACTGAAAAATTCACTCCTGGATAAAAATATTCTTTTAGTTATTCAGATTACTATAGAATTTGTTTCAACACTTGTTGAGGAAAACAACTGTAAATTCTCTCAGGTGTTTAGCTTTTTTTATGTATGGACCAGAAACTGTTGGCGCTATATAAATCCTGTATAGTAATAAATGCCCAGACAATGAATGCCATGTCTAATGAATTGGAGACACGGACATTGACTCTGCAACCCTACTGAGATCCCAGCCCTTATGTTTTATACCTCTGCTCCAGAGGCTTTAGTACCTAAAGGATTGTTCATCTGCAATGCCCTCATCAATTTTTTCCCTTGTGCATGTCTCCACTGTACACAGGCAACAGGTGCACTTTACCAAACAGGAATGGTCTTTCAAAATAGATGTGAACAACAAAACTGTATAAATATAACTTTGTAATATAATAGCAACAGTGAATACCAAGAATAATTCAAGCACATGAAAGTTGGCTAGTATTGTCAGATTTTTTTTTTCTTTTAATTCTGCACTAAGAAATTGTTTCAGTTCAGAGTGTTTCCTGGTTCCCAGCTTTCTTGTTCTTGTGCGTGTAAATTCTCTGTCTTGTTTTATTATACTGTATTTGTTTATAATATGCCAGCATACAGATGTGCGCAAGTGAAACACAATGGCTGGCGAAAAAAAACCCATCCGATTAGTCTCAGGGGATATAGAGTCATCAAAGGGTATATCAATGAAATTAACAGAAATTTTGAAACCTCATTACCTTTGACTTCCCAAAGTACTTACATTATGCATGCTTTCAATTATTGTTTAAAGTAGTATTAAACCCTCAGTGATTTTTAGTTTAACCCAAATTTCTTGTCCTAGCACTTGCAGTATACAACTTTTATGTCGCTGGCTCTCAGTGCTGCTTCCCTTCACAGGAGAGAGTTAACTCTGGACAGTTCTGTCTCAAGCTATTCTGTTAGAGTCAAGGAGGGAAAACTGAGGAGTATATTGTCATCCTAGGCTACAGGGCTGTGTGATTCTATTGCTGTACTCAGTACATGTACAGCACCATAGTGAAGCTCATCTCCTTCACTCCCCCTGCATAGCAGCACTTCTTTCCATAGTGGTGCTCATTTCCTCTAAACCTCTCTCTATAGTGGCGCCCATTTCCTTCCTTCACCCCCCCCAAGTGCTGATTCACACATGTGCAGTGAGGATTGAAGCTCAGGTTTCACAGCGAATTGCCATTAGCTGTTCACCGGTTCAGATCAGGTTTACATCAAGTTCAGAACAGGATCAGCACAGGATCCTGTTCACACATGTCAGGTTTAGAAATGGTTACCATAGAAGTCAATGGCCTGTAATCCGCACCTGAACTGGACAGCACTTCTCAGAAACCAGACATGACTTTTTTTTTAATCCACACTGAATCTGCACTGAATCTGTACCGGCAGTGCACTGGACATATGTGAACAAGCACCATAGGAAGCAATGGTATTTCACATGTCATGCGGATTGGAGGCGGTTCAAACCTCCTCCAATCCGCATATACACTATATTGCCAAAAGTATTGCGACACCTCTCCAAATCATTGGATTCAGGTGTTCCAATCACCTCCATGATCACAGGTGTATAAAATCAAGCACCTAGGCATGCAGACTACTTCTACAAACATTTGTGAAAGAAAGGGTTGCTCTCAGGAGCTCAGTGAATTCAAGCGTGGTACTGTAATAAGTTGCCACCTGTGCAATAAGGCAATCCGTGAAATTTCCTTGCTACTAAATATTCCACGGTCAACTGTTAGTGGTATTACAACTATTACAACAAAGTGCAAGCAACTGGGAACAACAGAAACTCAGCCATGAATAGGTAGGCCACGTAAAATGACAGAGTGGGGTCAGCACATGCTGAAGCGCACAGTGCGCAGAAGTTGAAAACTGTCTGCAGAGTCAATAGTTAAAGACCTCCAAATTTTGTGTGGTCTTCAGATTAGTATACCATTAGTGTGTATTGAGCTTCATGGAATGGGTTTCCATGGCCGAGCAGCTGCATTGAAGCCTTACACCACCAAGTGCAATACAAAGCATCGGATGCAGTGGTGTAAAGCACACCGCCACTGGACTCTAGAGAAATGGAGATGTGTTCTCTGGAGTGACAAATCGCACTTCTCTGGCAATCTGATGGACATGTCTGAGTTTGGCAGTTGCCAGGAAAACGGTACGGTACTTGCCTGACTGCATTGTGCCAAGTGTAAAGTTTGGTGGAGGGGGGATTATGGTGTAGGGTTGTTTTTTGGGGGTTGGGCTTGGTCCCTTAGTTCCAGTGAAGGGAACTTTTTAGGCGTCAGCATACCAAGACATTTTGGACAATTTCATGCTCTCTAATTTGTGGGAACAGATTGGGGATGGCCTCTTGCTGTTCCAAAATGACTGGGCACCAGTGCACAAAGCAAGGTCCATAAAGACATGGATGAGCGAGTTTGGGGTGGAGGAACTTGACTGGCCTGCAGAGGGCGTTGACCACAACCCGATAGAACACCTTTTGGATGAATTAGAGTGGAGACTGTGAGCCAGGCTTTCTCATCCGACATCAGTGCCTTCTAAACTTTGTGGACAGCCTTTCCAGGAGAGTTGAAGCTGGTATAGCTGCAAAGGGTGGACCAACTCAATATTGAACCCTACGGACTAAGACTGGGATGCCATTAAAGTTCATGTGTGTGTAAAGGCAGGCGGCCCAATACTTTCGGCAATATAGTGTGTGTGAACAGGCACTAAATTAGCACTCATTTCCTCCACCTTCCTTTCTGTAGAATTGTTCAGTTCCTCCAACCCCAAAATGAGCAGAGTGGTGCTCATTTTCTATCCATCCCTTCTCCATAGTGGCGCTCCTTTCTGTCTTTTTTAATCCATAATATATGAAAAAAACCTATAAAATACTATACCACACTATACTTTACAGAGAAATGCACCTTGTTTTGACCTGACTTTTCTTTAATAATTATTGTGTCTCATTCATTTCGGTTTGTACTTAAATATCAAATGATAATGTGAACTTGTCCTTTAGAAACATAAGGTGAACCTGCACTATAGTAGGTAGTCCTCAGTTTATATTTTTTCATTCTGTCAGTACATGGGATATGCTCAATCTTATAGCGTGGTATGGCAGATTGTGTCGGAGAAGGAAAGTGCAGCTCATTGATCTTCTTTTGAAGAAGCAGAACAATGAAAGCTGCTAGCAGGTGTTCAGTGATCAAAATGTATTGTAGCAAATTTTAAGGTCACAGCTGCTTACTATACTCATTGTTTCTCTGTGTCTGATGTAAAATGTCTAGAGTAAGGAGTATGATGGAGGATATTATCTTTTCTCATGCATTGGGAGTTGCTGCAATATCTATTTGTAGACATCTGCAAAAAGGATGCAACAATTTAGGAAAAGCACAAGAGAATTAATTCTACTACTTTTTATGCCCTGGCTTCTTGACTTACCAAAGTAAAACAAAAACACAAAAGCCAAGTTAAAAGTTCTGTTAGCTGGAGTAGGAGTAATGTTGGAGAAATAGAGATAAGCAGAGAAATACAAGAGGGCATAGATTAACCACTTGCCTACCAGGCACTTATACCCCCTTATTTACCAGGCCAATTTTCAGCTTTCAGCGCTGCCGCACTTTGATTGACAATTGTGCGGTCATGCAACATTGTACCCATATGAAATTTTGATCATTTTTTTCTCACAAATAGAGCTTTCTTTTGGTGGTATTTAATCGCCACTGGGCGCTTTACTTTTTGCGCTATAAATAAAAAAATTGCAAAAAAATTTGAAAAAAAAAAAAAAAAGTTTCTTTGTTTCTATTATAAAATTTTTCAAACAGGTAATTTTTCTCCTTCACTGATGTGCGTTGATGAGGCAGCACTGATGGGCACTGATAGGCGGCACTGATGGGCACTGATAGGCGGCACTAAAGGGCACTGATAGGCAGTACTGAGGTGGCACGGATAGGCGGCACTGATAGGCAGCACTGATAGGCAGCACTAATGAGGTATCACGGATAGGCGGCACTAATATGCAGCACTGATAGGCGGCACTGATAGGTGACACTGATGATGGGTACTGATAGACGGCACTGACTGGCATCACTGCTGGGCACTGACTGGCGGCACTGACTGGCACAACCGCTGGGCACTGACTGGTGGCACTGACTGGCAGCACTGCTGGGCTGCACTGGTGGGTGGCACTGGTGGGCAGCACTGGTGGGTGGGCACAGGTGGGTGGCACTGGTGGGCACAGGTGGGTGGGCACAGGTGGGTGGCACTGCTGGGCACAGGTAGGTGGCACTTCTGGACACAGGTGTGTGACACTGCAGAGTGGCACAGGTGGGTGCACTGCTGGGCACAGGTGGGTGATCTGCTGGGCACAGGTGGGCGGAGCTAGTGGGCGAACTGCAAGGCACAGGTGGGCGGAACTTGTGGGTGGCACTGCTGGGCACCGATCATCAGGGCACTGATCATCAGTGCCCTGATGATCGGTGCCGATCCTCGCTCTGACAACTGCCGGTTCTCGGCAGTACTTTCCTCACGATCTGACAGCGTGAGGAAAGTGCAGCCGAGAACCGGCACTTGCATTTCCCTGTGATCAGCGTGTCATTGGACACCGCTGATCACGTGGTAAAAGGCCGCTGTGATTGGCCTTTTACCACATCACGTGATCAGCTGTGTCCATAGGACATAGCAATCACGGAGATCGCCGGGTGCGCGCCCCAGGGGGGCGCGCAGGAGAGCGCGTTCTGGGAGGACGTCATATGACGTCCAACCAGAACTGGCCGGCAAGCAGTGCAGCCGTCATTTGGCTATCTGCGGTCGGCAACTAGTTAAGAAGAGGATGTGGATGGGGAAAAGGGGAGGGGTTTGGGGGGAGGGGGTTTTAGGGGATGTGGAATGGGTATTTGTGAATAATTTTTGAAAATTAGTTTTTTTTTTATATTGGAAAATCAAATAAAGGTTAACTTCTTGCCGACCAGCCACTGTAGAAATAAATAGAACGTGCGTTTGCAAAACAGGTAGGGGGCGCACGCGAGGCGCGGGCCCACCCTACCCATTCCGCCGATCGGGGCCGCAGGAGTCAGTCGCCGGGTCACGGCCGGTCATTACCTACCGTGTCCCGGTGATTAGCGGCAATCACTGACAGAGAGGATGGCTGCAGTGTTTACACTGCAGCTGTGCTTTCTGTCAGTCCCCTGTCAGCTCCTGACACGCTGATCTGGAGAGAAGAGTTTATCTCTCCGGAGCAGCTTGTTCCCATGCAGTACACACCCCCGCCCCCTAGTAAAACACTCCCCTCACACAGTTAACCCTTTCAGTAAATAAAGTTAACCCCTTCCTCCCCAGTGCCATTAGTACAGTGTCAGTGTTTTTTTCTTTGCACTGATCACTGTATTGGTGTCACTGGGGATGTCAGTGACCCCAAGTCAGTTCCCCTCCAGTGTCAGAATGTCCGCCGCAGTCCCGCAGTCCTGCCATAAGTTGCTGATCGCCTCCATAAGTCACTGATCGCCGCCATTATTAGTCTAAAAAATTTTAAAAATCCCAGTATCTTTCCCGCCATTTGTAAACGCTATAACGTTCACGTAAACCAATTAATTTACATGTATTGGGGTTTTTTTTAGCAAAAACATGTCGCAGAATACATTTTGGCAGAAATGTATGACTAAATTTGATTTTTAAATTTTTTTTACTGGACATGTTTTATAGCAAAAAGTCCAAAATATTGTTTTTTTTTCCTCAAAATTGTCAGCCTTTTTTTTTTTAAAGCGCAAAAAATTAAAAACGCACAGGAGATAAAATACCACCGAAAGAAAGCTCAATTTGTGGGAAAAAAAGGATGTAAATTTCATTTATGTACCGTATTGCATGACCGCGCAAATTGTCCGTTAAACTAGCGCAGCGCTGCATAGCAAAAAAATGGCGTAAATTGCAGTATCTATACCATAGTTTGTAGACGCTATAACTTTCACACAAAGCAATCAATATACACTTATTGGGATTTTTTTTACCAAAAACATGTAGCAGAATACATTTTGGCCTAAATTTATAACCAACTTTGAGTTTACTATATATTTTTTATAGCTGAAAGTAAAAAATATCGTCTTTTTTTTGTTTATAGCGTGAAAAAAAAAGCGCACAGGTGATCAAATACCACCGAAAAAAAGCTCTATTTGTGTGAAAAAAAGGGCGTAAATTTCATTTGGGTGCAGCATTGCATGACCGCGCAATTATCAGTTGAATTAGTGCAGCGCCGAGTAGCAAAAAGAGGCCTGGTCATTAAGGGGGTAAATCCTCAGGAGGGCAAGTGGTTAAATTAAAAAAAAAAGTTCTGTTAGCTGGAAGTTTTTAAACTCATGTACAGTCAGTAAGTTGCTATGTGCAACACTGACTCATCTTTCCTTCAGCATTAAATACTCTTTCTGAAAGACAGGAGCTACGTGTGATGATCTAGTTGCATGTTGACTGTTTGGATTATTCCTTCTATGAAAAATATTGGTGTAAGTAACTGTGAAATATATGCCAAAATACTCTTACTCACTCTATGGACAGTCTTTAGTGGATTGTCTGGCATTGTACACTGACATGGGTATGATGTGAGTTTATCATACATCTCACTCAGTGGTCTTCAGTAGATAGCCTGGCTTTTACATCTGACATTAGCACGGTGTGAGTTTATTATACATCTCACTCTTTAGACAGCCTTCAGTGAATGGCTTGGTGTTGGATACTGACAATGGCACTGTGTGAGCATATCATAGTCAAGTCAGGACAGTTGCAAAGACAAGCAGTAATGCTGAAAGTAGTACAACTGTGCCAATCTGCCCAGCCATCAGATCCATCTCTGTTCTGAAAAACTAAACATGATGATAGCTCTGGAGAACTATCTTAGTACCGACATTTTGTGGTTGATTTACTAAAAGCGAATAGGCAATGCACTTTGCAAGTGCAGTTGCAATCATTTGTCCCCAGGCTTAGTAAATGTGGTAAAGCTCTGCTGATTTCGATCATTAAATCATGTTTTTTTTTTTTTTAATTTTCTTTCCTACTGATTTGGTAGTTTTTACAAACTGAAGCTTTACCACATATACATTTACTAAGGAAAATGAGTGTAACTGCACTTGCAAAGTGAACAGTCTATTTGCCATTAGTAAATCCTCCCCACTGAGTGGGTTCTATTAATAAATACATTTTTACTTGGGTTTAATGGTTCTTACAGTACATTGATGATATAGCATGTGTCTTTGGAGGTTTTTTTTAAACATTGAATTTCTTATTATTATGTCTGAATGCAAAATCTGACGCTGGTCAAATCTTGCTGTTACAGGTTGTGAATCAGTGCATGAGAAGGCACCATCAGTGAAAGCCCTTCTTCTTACAGGACCAGCGGGTGTTGGAAAAAAGATGCTGGTGAATGCCATCTGCAATGAGACGGGAGCAAACTTGTTTAACTTATCACCAGCCAATATTGCTGGAAAATACCCAGGCAAGAGCGGACTGCAGATGATGTTGCACATGGTGCTGAAGGTTAGTCTGCTAGTAGGAGAAAGTATACCCAATCAGGCGTAATGAAAATTAAAAAAAGCATTTTTGCTTGCATATGATTGGATGATAGAAATCAGCAGAGGTTCACCACATTCACTAGGTTTGAGGGAAATGAGTGGCACTGCACTTGCAAAAATTTGCATATAAAGTAAGTTGAGAACTTTAAAAATTTTACCACTCAATGCTAATTGGTTGTCGTTGAGTTTTAGACTCCTCCCTCTTGAGATGTAACATGATAGCCAAATATTTCTTTTTAACACTGAGTATTCATTAATGCACAATGTCATATTTTATATAAACACGGTAAGCAACTATTTCCATTTTATTAGACCACAATATCTTCATATTAAAGTTTCATAATTGCTTAAAATTGTAAAAGGCCACTAACTCCAATTAAGTGCATGGGTACTGTCTTCATTCTTACCGTAGGTCAATGAGGCCACTGACAATAGTGAGACAAGAGTGGCTGGGCCAGAGCCAGCAACCTGGAAAACTGGTTGCAATATGCACAATAGACTGATCCAGGTTTCCAGTGCCCATCAAATGCTCTAAAGGAGGTCCAAACTAACATGGAGTATCACTTTATGAATTTTTGGGGAACCACAAATTGCTTTAATATTTAATATATATAGTTTAATATTTTGCAAAGTTCTGGAGCCGCACACAGGATCTTCCCTCTAACATGTGTCGCCCCCCTACTTGAGCAGCACAGTGGCTACGTGGTTAGCACTTCTGCCTAGCAGTACTAGGGTAGTTGGTTCAAATCCCAACCATGGTGCTACCTTCCAGGAGTCTGTGTGTTCTCCCTGTGTCTGCGTGGGTTTCCTCCGGGTACTTGGGTTTCCTCCCACACTCCAAAGAAATGCTGGTAGGTTAATTGGCTCCTGTCTAAATCGGCCCTAGTATGTGTATGTATGAATGTGAGTATGGACGTTAGATTGTATGCTTCTTGAGGGTTAGGAATTGATGTGAATGTACAATATACAGTCAGGTCCATAAATATTGGGACATCGACACAATTCTAACATTTTTGGCTCTATACTCCACCACAATGGATTTGAAATTAAACAAACAAGATGTGCTTTAACTGCAGACAGTCAGCTTTAATTTGAGGGTATTTACATCCAAATCAGGTGAACGGTGTAGGAATTACAACAGTTTGCATATGTGCCTCCCACTTGTTAATGTACCAAAAGTATTGGGACAATTGGCTTCTCAGCTGTTCCATGGCCAGGTGTGTGTTATTCCCTCATTATCCCAATTACAATGAGCAGATAAAAGGTCCAGAGTTCAAAGCCCCTCTTGCTGAATTTTTTGGTGCGGTAAAAAAAAAACCTTACTAAAAAAATGGAAAATACAGTGTTCCCTCGCCACTTCGCGCTTCATGTTTTGCGACTTCAGTGCTTCGCGGGTCAGCAGCCACATTGTGTTGATGCGCAAGAGAGAAGGATCCCTGCATGAAGGAACCCTTATAATGCCGCCTAAGCGCTGTGCCCCTGTGAAAGCTTCCTCCGGGGCGCCCAAGAGGAAGAAGATGATGACCATCAGCGAAAAAGTGAAACTTTTAGATATGATCAAAGAGGGCAGAAGTTATGCATCTGTGGCACGCCATTACGGGGGTGAATGAATCTACAGTGCGGTACATCAAGAAAGTGGAGACAAACATCCGCAAAACTCCTTCAATAACCTTCAACAAAGAAGCAAAACGTGTGATAACTCCGCGTAATAACAGAATTGTGAAAATGGAAGGTGCACTGGCATTGTGGATTGCTGATTGCAGGAAAAAGACAGTGAGTGTGGACACTAATATGATCAGGACAAAGGCCAAAGCTCTCTACGACCAAATCTTGCCCGATGACGACAGTGAAGAGGCTGAAGAAGGTGCTGACGAACCTCAAGCCAGTACTAGCGCTGCCAGAAGTGATTCGCCTCCTCGCGGACGAGGCTTTTCAGCCAGCAAAGGCTGGTTGAAAAATTTCAAAAAAGATACGGCCTCAGAAATGTGCTTCTGTATGGTGAGGCTTCCTCTGCTGACAACGATGCTGCTTGTCGTTACGTGGAGGAAAAGTTTCCTAACCTCATTAGTGAGGGAGGCTACCTTCCTGAACAAGTTTTTAACATGGATGAAAACAGGCCTTTTTTGGAAGAGGATGCCTTCACGTACATTCCTCTTCAAGGACGAAGTGAAGAGGCCAGGCTTCAAGGCTCACAAAGACCGTGTGACTGACATCATGACTGGCAATGCTGCAGGTTTTATGCTTAAGCCAGGCCTTATTTATAAAGCCAAAAAACCACGGGCATTAAAAAACAAAAATATGGCCCTGTTGCCCGTGTTCTGGATGCATAACTCCAAGGCCTGGATAACGAAAGCTCTGACCCTTGAATGGTTCCTCCATTGCTTCATTCCCCAGGTGAAGCTGTATCTGGCTGAAAAGGGCCTCCCCTTTAAGGTCCTTCTCCTGATGGACTGTGCAGGAGGCCATGCAACGGACCTGCAATATGACGGTGTGCAGATAGAGTTTCTGCCCCCGAACACTACATCTCTAATTCAGCCGATGGATCAAGGTGTCATTCGTGCCTTTAAGGCACTCTACACTCGCTCCACGATGGAGAGCCTCATCTCGGCAGTTGACGATGCCAATGATGAATTCACCTTGAAAGCATACTGGCGCAGTTACGACATTGCCTCATGTTTGTCTAATATTCAGCAAGCATTAAAGGACATGAAGAGTGAGACCATAAAATCTAGCTGGAAGAAATTATGGCCGAACGTGGTGCACGACTATCCAGGCTTCACTCCTGAAGAAGTTCATCACTCAGCGGTGGAGAAGGCGGTGAGGCTGGCTCACATCATAAGGAATGAAGGATTTGTCGACATGACAGAAGAAGACATCAGCGCCCTTATCGATTGCCACTCGGACCCACTGAGCGATGAAGACCTCCTTGAGATGACAAAGTCTGCAAGTGAGGAAGAAAACGAAGAGGAAGACGAAGAAGAAAGTGAAAAGCGTGGCCTTACCCTGGAGAATCTGCAACAATTGTGCAACATGGCAAGAGCGATGCAACAATTTGCACAAGACATTGACGACAATATGGTTCGAGCTGTCGAGTTCAGCAATCGCGTTGACGAGGTTATGTCCTTGTACAGGGGAATTTTGAAGGAAAAGAAAAAACAAAGACAACAACTACCCATCACCATGTTTCTCTCCAAAGTAAAGCCCCCGCCTCTACCGTCAGCGCCTCCAGCAGAAGAGTCTCCGAGTCAAGTGAGAGCCTCTCCTCCGCCACCAACACAAGACTCTTCTCCTCTCTCAGAAAGCAATGTTGATTAATGTTTATTACTGTATAAGGTTTTGTAATTACAGTAACCCTATTGTAATTAGCACTGACACGTTTAAGTAAATACGTATACTGTACATTACTGTTGTAATTTTTGTCTTAAATGAGTAAAGTATGAATACTGTTTACATATTTAAAACATTCTTGTACAGTACCCGCATACACAAAAATTCCTAGGGGCAAATACTACTTCGCGGTTTTTCAGCTTTTGCGGAAGGTTCTGGTCCCCATTAACCGCGAAAAATCACTGTGCAAAATGCATTTCAAAAACGCAGCAAAACCGTATATGCCTTTTTGCCACAGATCAGTGTGAAAGAAGCTTTACTTGCTCTCAAAGTGGACTAGGGGATTTGTAGTATGCATAGAGCAGTGCACATGGCCACAACAGACAGAAGTGAGGGGTAACAGGAAAGCTTTGGGAGCTAATGGAGGATGTTACAAGCAGGCAGAAAACCACACTAACAAACAATTTCATGAAAAATCAGATTGCAGGAGCTTTAAGTAGGGAATATGTATAGATTATTTTTGGAGAATAGGAATATAATTTATCATCACTTTAATCATAGAGCTCCATGATTAACCCATAGTAGGAGAAGAACATGTTAGAGGGAGGATCATGTGTAGTGCAGTGCAGAGGGTGTAGTGCCTGTGTGTGTGGCTCCAGCACTTTACTAAATGGTGTATGGGAGAGATAGACCCCAGAGGAATGCGAATACCTTCAAGTTTAGCATTGCAGAGGTCATAGCAGTGGCTTCACCCTTTGTGAGTAGCATATGGGGGTTCATTTACTAAAACTGAAGAGTGCAAAATCTGGTGCAGCTCTGCACAGAGACCAATCAGCTTCCAAGTTTTTTGTCAAAGCTTATTTGAAAAAGTTGAAGTTAAAAGCGGATTGGCTGCCATGCACAGCTGCACCAGATTTTGCACTCTCCAGTTTTAGTAAATGAACCCCCATATGTTACTATGTTTTAGTAAATAATCCCCAGGTTTTACAGTGTTTATTGTCACCCATGTTCTGAAAATGCTGTTAAATAGAATGAAGCACAATGATGAATACATGTGTAATTTCACCAGTAACTTTTTGTCAATCAATTTCTATTTGCATACCTCAATGTAGTGTGGATTGAAGATTTCCAGAGTACAAAGAATGCACCATTATTATCAAACATTTGATTGCTGCAAATGTAACACCTGGAGAACATTACTATACATTACACAATATATTAGTATGAATGGGTTCACATATGGATGATGCTACAACGTCATGCAGTCATTTCAGGGGAGATTCCAGAGTAAGAAGGGGATGTTTATTCAAAGGCTTATTTTGCCAAGTGTAACATTTTTGGATAATTAATTAGCTCAATGTAAACCCAGAGCAGCTGTGTGCTTCATCATCAGCAAATACTTCTGTTGATTTATTATCTACCAGCATGTACCATGTTTCCAGAACAAGGGGGTGCAGTGACATCACTGGGCTAAAGGTGTCAGAAGAAAACCACATTTTCTGACATAAGCTTTGCAGGAAGAGATGGAATGTAAACATGGAGAAAGTAGACAATTGCAATGAAGGAATGTCAGACAGAGGAATACTAACCTTTATTCGGTGATAACTCTGAATGCTGGAAATAACATATCAATGATAATAGCAAAACAAAACAAAAAAATCTGCATTGATCTTTTGATCCTAAAAATGTTCAAATTAGGTTTGTTGAATTACTAAGTTTCCCAAACTATGCATTTATTGCCACCGAGGTGAGATACTCTGCACACAAGTCTCCAGAGCTTAGACTACACGGGTGATCTTATACTCATTCAACTCTTATTTTCAACCAATTTGCCACACACTGAGAATGTTGCAATGACGTGTCTACCAGGGAGTTCAAAGTATATCTAAAACCAAAACGTTTGATTTTAGATAGAGTAGGAAATAGTTAAAACCCCTGTACTTTGTCTTTGATTTTGCAGACATGCACCCAGTGGGGAAATCTGATTGCTGCTCACTTCCTGCCCCCCTTCCCCCGGGACACAACAGGAAATATTAGGAAATCTCTTCATACTTTGAAGAACCTTTAGAAGGTTTTCCCTCATATCATATCCCCATGAGTGAAATGCATTGGGGGCATGGCCTGGCGGGAGCCCAGGCTGAGACTGCCATTCTTTCTAGTACCAGCGGGTTTGCATAGATGTGCAGCTTCATGGGATCCATCCTTTGCTTAACAGTTACTTGGAGCTGAGAGGTGCTCCTCCCCTGGCCTGCACTTATAATGGTGGACACAGGATTGCTTTCCCTTGTATCCTGAGCAGTACACATTTTCCATTACCTCACATCATGTTATGGTGACAACATATTGGATTTCCCATCACATTCTGTCTTAGTGACAGCGGTGACTAGGACATATAGAGAGGGTGAGTCTCCCCAGCGGGAACACAGACAGCATTCAAAACCTTTGAAGAGGTTCAACAGTCTATCATTGACAAAAGAAAACATTTTGACTTTAGGTAAAGTTGATCCAGGGAATATCCGATTGTCTCTCGGGGGATCAGGATGGAATTTTTTTTTCCAGCAGGAGCAAATTGGATCATGCTTTGCTGTTTTTTTTTTGCCTTCCTCTGGGTCAACTGTGGGTGTAGGATTATAACTTTTTTTTTTTCTATGGTTGAACTGGATGGACTTTTGTCTTTCTTCAGACAGACTAACTATATATATAGCATAGTGTAAATTTCTCCATAGTATAAGCTTAAAATCACTTATATGGTTTAGTTCTTAAAGAGGAACTTCTCTCCCCTTATTTTTTTAAGCTAATCTTACCCATTATACTGGGTTGTCCTCAATTATGATACTTTTCTGACCAGAGAATCCAGCGTTGTCCTGCTGCAATTGGCCGATCTACTGCCACAGACCCATGTTACCCTCATGGTTCTCCAAGAGCCAACTACACCTATTGGGTTCCCTAGATGACATGACAACATTTTTAGTTCACGAAGGAGAGGGAATGAGTGGTGGGAAGTGAAGTTGTTTAGAAGAAGGAAGGTCTGTTTTAATGTTTCTTTCACCAAACCACCCCTTGGAGCATCCTCACCTGGATTCTGAAGGGCCATTCTGCTCAACAACCAAAATCAAACTGTTTATGAGGAGCCAATCGAATGAAACACAGTATAAGGCCTTAACTCCTAAATTACATTGTCAGGAGGCAGGGATATACCTGTCCTGATGTGTAGCTCTATGGGCTTTGCTGTGACTCACTATCATACACCGTTGTGCCCAGTGCTGTATTTAGGGTTTGTGCTGCCCTAGGCAACAAAAAAATGTCCCCCCCCCCCCCCCCCCCCACGAAGAGACCCTGACACCAACACCCCACACACCCGAGAGAGCCTTCCACTACCACCGCCCCCCGTACAGTGGCAAGCAGCCCGCAGCCTATCTCAGATCTCACCTGGTCCCCATGCTGCGTGTGTCTCGTCTTCCATCAATTCTTTAGGGGGACAGCACTGCCCCCCTGAAAAATGCCGCTGCCCACCTGAAAAATGCTGCCCTAGGCAAATGCCTTCTTTTGCCTTGCGGTACACCCCTGGTTGTGCCTGTGCTTGTAGAGATTTGATTATGGGTTAGCTGTGCTGAGTAACAGCCAAGAATTTAAACACCTCACACCTCCAGTGGTGGTATAAAGGCACATGAGAGCATGCCACAGCACAACCAGTAGACTGGCATTTAGGATACAAGACAAATGTAAATCAGCATGCAGACATTAGATGATGACCAGTAATGCATTAGGCCATTGAACAGTCTTTATACTGAAAGATCACAGTACAAGCATGACCATTCAAATTGTGCAATGTAGGAGGTGTGTACAATATAAAACAAAAAAGAAGACGTAAAACCTTGTTCATTACCTTTAAAAGGATTTATGAAAAAGTAGATAAAACAGCCAAAAACATACTCACACTGGCAAAGGAAATAGGATGTGAGTGCTTTTTGTGGCCAGGACCTCACTTACTGATAGACAGACAAGCTTTTTCAAGGGCGAGACCCTCTTTCTCAGAGCTTCAAGGAAGAGGAAGAAGATCTTGCCCTCAAAGAAAGTCTTGCCCTCGAAACGCGTCAGTTTGCCTAACACAGAGCACTCACATTCTGTTTTCTGTTCCCAATGTAAGGTCTCTGTACTCTTTGTTGGCTGTTATAGTTATTTTTTAATAAATCATTCTAAAGGTAATCAACAAGATTTTATGCTCCTTTTTTGTTCTTCATTGTTCACTATAGATATATCCTTAGTCTAAAGATGGCTGAATACTTGATGCAAATCAGTGATTGAAGTGAATTACTAATGCTGCTTTGTGACTGCAACGGAAGACGTATACTATGACACCTAAAGTGGTTGTAAATCCTAACATATACCCAGTGAAGTGACTGGCCTCAGGGGATGCATGGATGAAACAAATCCTCCTACATAAGTTGCACCTGTTTATTTTCAGTTTTCTCTATATTCTTTCAAAGTCCAGAATTTATAAAGCTTGTCTGAGCTGCCAGAAAAAAGGGGGTGGAGAGCTGAAATTGCACTCTGCAGAGCCTAATGAGGAGAGCTCTAAGAGCTGATTGGAGGGAAGGGACACTCCCACCCCCATTACACAGCACACAGGAGCAGATCTGAGGCTGTCAATCAAAGGCTGTGTGCTGGAGGCCCCCTCCCCTGTCACCTTTTTTCTCTTGGTGTCCGGTAAACTTGTCAAAAGTGAGGCATGCAGATAGCAGAGGAAGGTGGACAGAAATGACACTTAATGCTCTTAAATGAGACAAGTACACACTATAGAGGGATATGCATTGTTCATATTTTATGTCTGAGGTTTACAACCATTTTAAGCACTGATGCATTTATTCTTTAGTTGTAGGTGCTTGTGTCTATGCAGAGCTGAGGGGGGCACTTAAGAAACATCCCATACCAACTTCTCGCAGGAAAAAACAGCTGTGATTGAGCAGGCAGATCCCAACCCAGCCAGTAGAATGTGCTTCTAGGGAAGCCTGGCCAATGTATATTTTCTGGCTTCCCCATTCTAACTGTAAATGGCTGGGCAGGGTAAACATTTTGTAGGCAATGTAACATTTGGGGAAAGTTAAAAGCAACATTTGGGACATGTTTGTCCCCTGTCTTTTGTTTAAAAAAAATGTGAATGTCTTTAATACATGAAATCATTAACATGGAATTAGTCTTTAAAGTGACTGGTAAGAAACCAAAACGCAATTCGGTTTATATTGATGTGCCTTTTTGTATTGAATATCTCTGTGTTCCATATACAATGTAGAATTATATCCACTGTGATATTTGGGTTGCTCTGGTATGTACATTCCCAATGTGAAGGTGCTGAAGATGAAACATGTGCTTCACTATAGTAATGATGGAAGTACATCATCTAGTGGTGATTTTAGTACATAGCATGCTGGGAAGCTCAACATGCATTGATGTATGATGTGCGTTTATTTATATAGCACCACAATATACACTACACTTTCCTGTGTGTAAAACATTACAGCAGCTGACATTCTAACACTCAATACAGGAGAAAAATAGAGCATGTACAATCAATCTATATTGATCAAACATTTTTTTATTTGGCTGAGTAGTTATAACAAGTACAGAAAATCTGGAAGAGGTACTTTTCTTTCTATTTTGCTCATAACAGCCTGCTGTATGTGGAATATCATATTAATATGTGTCTCCTAACTACAGGTGGCCCGTCAGCTGCAGCCATCAGTCATATGGATCGATGATGCTGAGAAGAGTTTTTATAAGAAAGTACCTAAGACAGAAAAGCAGGTAATTGTATTCCTCAATACTTGTCATCCGGGACACTATTGTCCGTTCTATCATCTACATCTATGCCTCATCCATAGTATTGTAAAAATTTCCATGCAGGATGCACAGTGTTAAATATCTTACCCTAGGTTCACGCCTAAGCGTTTTCTGCAGCGTTTTGTGTTTTGCAGAAATGCAGTACAGTCCGTTTAACATGATTTCCTATGGGACATGTTCAAATCTCTGCGTTTTCACCCAGTGTTTTTTGTGGAAAGGGTCAGGAACTTTTTAAATGCAAAAAGTTGCGTTTTTGGTTCTATAGACTTCAATGGAAATGCTATTTTTGCCACGTTTTTGATGCTTTTGCATTTTAAATCTGCCTAGGAACAAGAAAAATTAATTGTCTCCTCCCATGCTCATCTCCAGGACTTCTCCAGAGCTTCCCCCATCCTCTGGAACTCTCTACCCCAATTTACCAGACTATCGCCTACTCTGCTCACTTTTAGGCGATCTCTGAAAATCTCTTCAGGGAAGCCTATCCTGTCCTAATGGAATCTTCTACTCTTCCAACCAGTCCATCCCCCACAGTTACTACCTTTTGTACCACTAGCCCCTCCCTCCTAGATTGTAAGCTCCAAGGAGCAGGGCCCTCCTAACCCTCTTGTATTGAACTGTACTGTTGCTGTATTGTCTCCTGTTATATTGTAAAGCGCTGAGCAAACTGTTGGTTCTATATAAATCCTGTATAATAATAATAATAATTTTTACAAAATGAACAAAACGTATCAAAAGCACGGCAAAAACACAACTGCAAAAACGCAATGCAAAACGCAACCTGCATAGGTGTGAACCTAGCCTTACTCTTAGTTTTTGTCTGGTTTGTGATTTACTGCGTGCATGGTTGGTGGTTTTGGGATCCAATCAGTTTCTGCTTTTGTTTTTACCTGTCACACTGCATTCTACAAACCCCAATTCAGGTTTAGATATCAGCAGATAATTACCTAAAATCAGGTTTTTTTTTAATTTATTTTTGAGAAGTAGATTTATAGCAATGACATGTTAGTTCTGCTTCATTGATTGTAAAGCGCTGAGCAAACTGTATAAATCCTGTATAATAATAATAATAATTTTTAAAAAAAAGCAAAACGTATCAAAAGCATGGCAAAAACTCAATGCAAAACGCAGTGCAGAAACAGCTTAAACGCAACCTGCATAGGTGTGAACCTAGCCTTACTAACCTTGTCTGGTTTGTGATTTACTGTGCGCACGGTTGGTGGTTTTGGGATCCAATCAGTTTCTCCTTTTGTTTTTACCTGTCACAATGCATTCTATAAACCCCAATTCAGGTTTAGAATATCAGAAAATTACCTAAAATCAGTTTTGTTTTGTTTTTTATTTTTGAGAAGTAGATTTATAGCAATGACATGTTAGTTCTGCTTCATTGATTTACTGCCCCCTGGTGGTGCAACATTTATATTATAATGTGACCAGGGCATTCGAAGACAGACAATTCAAGGGAGGCTAATGGAGTGTCTTTTAATTCTTTCTAACGCAACGACTGAGCCTACAATTCACACTTTACATATATGCCTTAACCCTACCCTTCTATGTTCTTGTTTTTACAGTTAGATCCCAAACGATTAAAAAAGGACCTTCCAAAATTTCTGAAATCTATAAAAGAAGAGGATCGGATTGTAGTTGTGGGTACTAGTCAGCGGCCATTTGATGCTGAAGTGAAACCTTTCTGTAAAATATATAAGAAGATTGTATTGGTACCTAGGCCTGATTATGCTGCACGGCTAGGTGAGAATTTGAATCTATTCTTTTGTTCTCTTATACTTTGAATTTCAGTAAGGATGGATTTTGTAAATCCAAAATCAATAGTTTGTTCTCCTCCTTTATGGTTGCTATATGCAACTTAATACCCAGCGAAATATATATTGAATTCCAGAATTATATATCTGTGATTCTGATTTGGCAGTCTTGTAATTCACACAACTCTAATATACAATACAGTGGATATAAAAAGTCTACACTCCCCTGTTAAATATCAGGTTTCTGTGACGTAAACAAATTAGACAAAGATAAATCATTTCAGAAGTTTTTCCACCTTTAATGTAACCTATAAACTGTACAACTCAGTTGAACAACAAACTGAAATCTTTTAGGTGGAGGGAAGTAAAAATAAAAAAAAATAAAATAACATGGTTGCATAAGTGTGCACACCCTTAAACTAATACTTTGTTGAAGCACCTTTTGATTTTATTCCAGCACTCAGTCTTTTTGGGTATGAGTCTATCAGCATGGCACATCTTGACTTGGCAATATTTGCCCACTCTTCCTTGCAAAAACACTCCAAATCTGTCAGATTGTGAGGACATCTCCTGTGCACAGCCCTCTTCAGATCACTCCACAGATTTTCTATCGGATTCAGGTCTGGACTCTGCCTGGGCCACTCCAAAACTTTAATCCTCTTCTGGTGAAGCCATTGCTTTGTTGATTTGGATGTATGCTTTGGGTCATTGTCATGCTGGAAGATGACGTTCCTCTTCATGTTCAGCTTTCTAGCAGAAGCCTGAACAGCATAGCTGTTAAAGCCAGGGTTTTTAGAAATGGGTTATCTCAAAAGGCTGCTTTCTGCAAAGTCAGTCATCATATATGGAAGGCATACTTAACCTGGTGTGAAAATCTAGGATTTTTTCCTTTCTGCAGTTGGGTCTAGACCAGTATTTTGCTCTCAGCAGGTTTATGCCCATTCTGTCTTGTTGGCCTCTCATTCCTAGATTAAGAAATTTGTAAAGGAAATTTTCAATGTAGCTCCCCCAGTTCATTCCCCTGTGACTTTATGAGATCTGAATCTGTCTCTCTCTGAACTTCAGAAACCACCATTTAAACTCATTGGAGACATTCCTCTCTCTTTTACCCACAGGGGGCTATTCATTGTAAAACCAAAAAAGATAAAAATCAGTGTGTCTTGGGTCCAAAATATGTATATATATAAATATATATATAACCCAAAGAAGATTATATGATGATTCATTGAAGAATTTTCAAAAAAATTCACACATCCGTTTCATCTAAATAGTGGTGGGGTCCCATGAGGCTAGAAATCCATTAACATCAAAATGTTTGTATAGGTAGCGCCGAAGGGGTGCTAACCTAAGAAAACCAGCCTCCCAAGGAAACCAACTGCGGCTTAATATGAAAAATTAGAGAAAACTTTATTGAGTACAAATCACATAAAAAAATCACCTTAATAGGTGAGTACTGCTGAATTTATCCAAAACCACATTAAAATAAGGACTGACAATGTTGTCATTCAAAACCCCCTGTGAGCCCAAGCTGTCACATGTTCATCCACTCCACCATGTATACAACTCAAACAGTATTTAATCAAGAGTATTTAATCAGCAGCTTGGTTTCAGTTCTGGGTCAGTATAGCCAAGCCCACTCTGAAGCCATCAATGTGGCTTTAGTCAGTTGAATCTCAAATGAGGTATCATTTAAGTGGTACTTGGTATCACCCTATTAAAAACTGAAACAAAAAAGTCAGTAAAAAGCCAAGAAGCACCGTAAGAGGATAATCTAATGCAATGATTCCTATGAGATCGGTGCTTGGTCAATGGGAATGATAATAACAAAAAGGGTACTAGACAATTCCAAAAAGTAGCTAAGACCATGAAGGTCAATAGAGCCTTTAGTTACTAGTCCCAGAGAGCATGCACTGATTGATAGACCGGAAGGGATCTGGCATGAATTATTTTATAGGATGGTTCAACATTAGTGTTCTTAATCCAGAGGCAATCCCTCGGTATACAGACACAAGTTAGTCCCCAACTTGATCTATCAGCATTGCACCAATCACAGACAGGCAAATTAGAGCAGATGCCGAGGATGGACAGCAAGCGGGTTAGTTACAGATAGCATTACTTTGAGCAGCATGCAGCATAGATGGGAAAAAAAAGCCAGAGCATCGTCTTAGCTCAGGCATTTAGATCAGCCGGCCTCACCTTCCCATTACAACATAGGTTCTCAAAACCCACTAGCATATCAGGTCCTCAATACATGGAGGCTCTCACCCAACCGGTACTTACAGTAATAGTCCCACATGTCACTCTCCTCCTTGTCCCTCGATCATGTAGGCTTCTCGCTGGGGCCAGAATGATCCTCAGCCCATTTGTGGTAATTCCACCATTTAATGCACACTCAGCAGGTGTGGTCAATAAAGACAGCTGGTATGGACAAAGTTCAGGCTCACCAACGCTACCAACGTCAGTGCATTTCGCTCACTGCATCGTGAGCTTCATTGTAGCCATCAACTCTGTGAGGCAAATGCGATAACTGGCAACCTCATTCTGAAAAGAACCCTTTCTGGTTTTGCACAGGGACAAGGTGGTGTTAAGGACTAAGACTTCCTTTTTGCCTAAGGTAATTTCTGCCTTTCACCAGAACTAGAATATTGTTTTTCTGTCCCTATGTCCCACTTTGGTTCAGCAAAATGAAATTGCCTTCCATTGTCTGGATGTGGTTTAGGCTGTGAGAGTCTGTCTCTCAGCCACTGTTTCTTGCAGGACGACCAAATCCTTTATATTAGCCCAGGTGGCTCTGGCTTTTCACTTCACCATCTGTAGGCTGTTCAAGCAGACAATAATCCAAGGTTTTGGTCTCAAGGATTGGATTCCACTCTTTCTTGTCAAGGGAAACTTTACTAGATCTGTGAATGTTTCTAGGACTTTTTGGCAAGCAGCAACTGCCACCACCTGTTCGATGAGGCCTCATCTGATGCCCACTTCGAACATAAGGTCCTTCAGGCTGCAGGTAGTGCCGAGTTATTTGCTGTTTTTTCTTGGGCCTGTTAATGTTTGCTGTGTTGCCTACCCCTCAGTTGAACTTGGTTTGGATGTTCCAAAGATGAAGGACTTATTGTGTTCCTCAATAGACATGATAATTGGATTCTTGTGCTCGCTGCAGCATCCTTTTCTTGGAGTCTATTCATACACAGATCCCACCCCCTCTGTGTTTATGATTATGTTCTCTGTACTTCTTTGCTACAAATTTGAGGAGCGTTGGTAGAAGGAAAGGTTATCCTGGGCCAGTCTACAGTTCTGTTGTTTGTCACTGTCCAATCCTTTTGTAGGTGACAGTATAACTTGTAGGTGACTTTCTGTGTCTCTCAGTGGACTCCAAGAAAAGGTTTTTATGTTGATTACAGAAATCTTATTATTTAGTTCATGTAGATTAACTCCTTCAGTCTGCTCATTTGATTATGAATGAGCATCATCTTTCTTATAAGCCCACTGCAGTATGTAGTACCTAATACATGTAAGGACCATACCATATAGCCTGATTATTAAGTTGGCACACCCGCTCTCAGTCTGAAAATTTCTGTGGGAGTGCTATGAGTTGTTAGCAGATTTTTATAATTATGTAATATGTAACTGGATAAAATTGACTTACTTGTTATGTTTAGTATGTTTCGAAATATTATTATAGAAAAAGGGAACATAATGTGATGTAAGGTGAGTGTCAGTAAATATTTGAACAACCCTTCTCTTTTTTTACACACGATGATGTCAAATTATGTATTAACTATGTAGGGGCATATTTATAAAAAGCTATGTCATATTCACCAAACATTCACTGCAGGAGCATAATTCACTATAATTGAAAACATGCACAATGAAGATACACGTGAAGTGAATGTTTGGTGAATGTCACTTTCACAAATTTAATAATGTACCCCTAAATGTAGGTTTTGTGACATTTGATGGTGTAATTTAAGTGTCAAACTAATGAATTGTCAAAAATCCACCCGAAAACAATCGGATCTATGTAAAATACCTGGGCATTGACCTGCCAATCTTTGCTGTTTGTCAGAATAATGTATTTTGCCACTAGCTCTAGTTTATGAAGACCAGCACTTCTGTTATTATAAGGGAGCTATCCATCAGGACCTGTATTTGTTGAGCCAATCTGTGCCTTTGTGCTCTTTTCCGCTCCTAGCAACTTAGACATGTTATTTTTACTTGTGACTGCTTTTTCCTAATACTGTGCATTAGTCATTCTGTATCTGTGATATTTTTCTTCCAGTGTTGTGGAAACAGTTGATTTCTCTACGAGTAGACAGTGCAATGTCTCTAAACTTCAGTGCCCTAGCAAAGATCACGGATGGATTCACCCCTGGTCACATGGTGCAGGCAGTGGATACAGTGCTTAATGAAAGAAGGATCAGGCAGCTTTCTCGCAAGCCCTTGGCAGCCTCAGAGTTTCTGGGTTCCTTGTCGCGACAAGAGCCAGTGTACAAGGAAGAAGAGGAAGCTTTCAAGGTGAGGATCATGGAATGCCCATGTGGTGACTATTCTGAACATGAGTTGTATGACAATTCCTTAGAATAAGAGGATCAAAAAAGAAGGACTGACATTGTATCCAAACTGCAAGAAGATAAAAATGACTTTTGTTGCTCATAGCAACCAATCAGGTTCCAGTTGTCACTTTTCTAATGCAGATGACCGTTGTCATGGACAACTGTATTTCTCCAACTTTTCTACAGATGCCCTATATGTATGTAAGCTTTTGTGTGTTTTGCACCTTTTAATTGGTCAATAATCCTCACACACTTATAGACAGCAATACAAAGAGTATATATTTTATTTCCAGTCAACAATAATATATGATACCACTGTTCATTCGGTTAGTAAAGTAGTTAGAGTGTTCATATTAGGTGACCCTAGTTAGCTCAGTATTGGGAGCATTACCTGTGACAGTCAGATCTTGTAGGGATAGACCACAAAATGGTAACAAGACCCTCTAAATATTTAATTCAAAGAAACATACAGATTTTCTGCGTGACCGATTGCTGATTTTCTGTTGTGAAAAAAGGAGCAAACCTTTCGTTATGAGTTTACTTCATCTACACACTTTGCATTGCTGGTACACAAAAGAGTTATTCAGCTGCCCTGAGTATGTTTGATCCTATTTTGTGTTGCTGTTCTTTTAAGAACTGATGTAGCGACCTGGTAAAGGGTGTACCGAAAGGTAGTAATTTTCCTTTAGGGCCCAGTGTTAGCCAATCTCATTGGTTAGGATAGAATCACAGACAGAATATGACCCCACTTTTATCAAAATGTTATCAGGCTTTAATTAAGTTCTTTTTCTGGCTGGCAGGAAGGGAGTGCTAGGGCAGTTTTTTTGCACTTTCTCCATCCATGGCTGCATTGGATAGAAGACTGGGTGAGTCCCAGGGGTGTGAGACTCCAATGAAGCTGGGCAAATCTCTTCCTGCCCATTGACATTGTGAGAGACCTTCTCATGGTTGACCATTATTAGAATGACAAGTGGGTAAGGCATTAAGATGGTTAAAGAACCCCTTAACTTATAGCTACACACCTGTTTATACTTGCCATCGTGGAGATTACATATATCCTTTGTATTGATTCATTTTCCTTAGTAGCAGTCTACAGCGACTAATGTGTATCGATAATGTGACCGGTTGTGCAAATCTCATCATTACATTGACGTTGCTCTTACTATAGCTTAACTCATGGTCCAGTGCAGCATTTTCTAAATGTCTTTTCTGTGTCACAGAGCTGGTACTCCAAGACACCCCTTGGGAAGAAGAAAAGCAAAGCAATACCAGGCACAGAGGAAGATGCTGGAAAAGAAAAAGGGAAAAAGAAAAGTGCAAAGAAAGGAAAGAAGAAATAGGGTTGTTGATGGTTTGTTTCTGAAGGAAGCTGATATCAGGTCACGCTGGTCTGTTTATGATGTTTTCTACACTGCACAGCCATGATGAGCTTCCTTAACACTTTATTTGTATTGAATTTTGTATATGTCGCACATATCAGAAAATAATAAAAACATACCAGAGTGATGGGATTCATCCATCTGTCCAAACATGTCTCTGTGATTAAACATACAGTATGTCTCAATAAAGGAGTGCTACTCCGGTAAAGGTCTAAAGATGGTATACAAGAATACAGCTGAATACATTTTCATCTATGTAAAGTCATAGACAAGGAGTATAGTATTTATTTATTTTTTTTGTTATCTGTCCTTCTTCATTGAATGGATAGCACTTTCTAGCTTCTGGAATTTGTGTCTCTGGTAATTCATACAAGTACATATAACAATCAATACAGTGTAATGCAGAATGCCACTGCTGCAGTAATTGTGTAAACATTCAATACATACAATGAAATCCCTATAGTGACTATCTGTATGTCAATTAGTAAAGTCAAGATCCTTTCTAAATAGTAGTCGTAATGTTAGCTTTTGACCCAATCATCTACATATTGACGTGGGAATTTACTGTTTCCAACCTAGCAATTTTTTTCATCCTTCTGTCATCCACTTCTGAATATTTCATGGCAATACAATCGGATTATGCAATTCTTATAAGACAGGGATAGATCCCTAGGGTTAGTCTTCAGCAGCTGCAGCCCACCTGGGGGGTCCTAGCTTTTTGTGAAAACTCTAGAACATGCAGTGTGGTTGATTTACTAAGACCAGATAGTGCAAAATCTGGTGCAGCTCTTCATAGAAACCAATCAGCTTCAAGGTTTTATTGCCAACGCTTTATTGAACAAGCTGAAGTTAGAAGCTGATTGGCTACCATGGACAGTTGCATCAGATTTTGCACTCTCCAGTTTTAGTAAATCAACCCCAGTATGTAAAAATCACAGCTGCAGATTCTAAGGTGATGCAACCATCTTTTAGTACACTTATTCTTTACATGCCCAAATGTTCAAGATTTACTTACTAGTCTTCACTCCGAAATCTTTGCTGTGAAGCCTGCTGGGAGAAGCACAGCCACAACTGCAGAAGTATTTGTTCATTCTAATGGAAACACCATCTTTTATTCCTCCTAATGGTGGACAACCTTTGCGTAGGAATAAAGGAGATTCTTCCCCTTATGCACAGAAGATGCAGAGCCCAGCTGGAAGACTTTAATGAAGATGTTGCATGACTGCCAGCGGACCACACAGCAAAGATCTCAGTGCATCAGGGACAGTTATGTATAAGACTGGTAGGTTGCTGGGGGAGGAGGCAGAATGGGACATTTCAAGAATAACTGTACAGACATAGTTATTCTCTAAAAATGTTTAGGTCATACATTTTTACTAATCACATGTTTGCCTAAACCTCTCAACCCCTTGTCCATCTGCATCCCTTATATTGAGTTGCAGTTTGGCAATTTGCATTAATCTGCAGGCGTACCAAAGAAAAAGCTACTAAGTGAATATGACAAAAAGTTATATTCCTGACTCTGAGGGTTCCGGATTACCCAGATGAAGTCACGAGTAGACGGTGACGTAACGCGTAGGTACGCGAGTCCGTAGTTCCGGTGCGTGGTGACGCATTTCCGGCGTGAGACGCCATCTTGCTACACCCGAGAGGTCCCATTCGCATGCAGTACACCCACACATCAGTGAGGAGGGAGAATGTCTGCAATGTGAGTGTAACCCCTTTTTTTACTCTTTGGAAATAAACACAAGTAATTTAATACTACACTTAGAGAGTTTCTTTTTGGCTCACCGGTTTGGTGAGCTACTACTCCCCAGGACTGCCCTGACTGACTGGGGGCTCTGTGGAATTCTGCTGAGGAGATCCAAGAAAGAAAGGAAGCTGCTGGCCTTTACAATTTAAGGATCCAGGTGATCCTGCATGCCTGTTGGCCCTTCGGGGTCAGTAGGAGGAGGTGAGGAGGCATTTTAGCCATACACGGAAGGATTTTTGGACACAGTCACAGTTTTATCCATCATCACAGATGCACATCGCATGAATATAAATATATTTTTTTTCACTAATAGGACATTGTTCTTGATCTTAACACTTATGTGGTTTTATTTGTGTGGCACTGTGTGAGCACTGTTAGAGTTTTTTTCCTTATTGGACTTTTTCTTGAAGCAATATTCATTAATTTATGCACAATGTATTTATGGTCATGGTTTGGCACTCCAATTTCTTATTTTTGATTAAGGGTTGGCACTATTATTTATCACTGTTGTATGTTTTGTTCTCTTGGCATTTGCATTAGTTTTGAGCGCTGCACTACTTTATATATAAGTGGCACTTATATTTCGTATTTTTGAATAAGGGTTGGCACTAGTATTTATCAGTTGTATGTGTTTTTCTGTCATTTGCATTAGTTTTGAGCGCTGCACTATTGTTTATATAATTTATTCACACTGAATTTGGTATCAGTTTTGAGTGCTAGCAGCTAGCGAAAAGTTTTAGTAGGTCCATTTGTATAGCGCAGGAGGATTTCAGATCATATCCTATCTCTTATCTACATTTAGAGACTGAGAAGATGTGATAAATCGTGAATGTAGTGGTAGACAGTACACGGCTAACAGAAAATAGACCGGAAAGTAGAAGACTTTGAAGCACAGCCATGCCTGATAGGTGGTAGGACTGCTGTGATTACAGGGTGCTACCCTGCACAGGAAGGGCTGACACAGTGATGTATGGATACAGATGTGTCCTTATTGTTCAATGTCCTTTGCTCTGTAATTTGGCAAGAGATGGGAGGACTATCACCTCCTTCACTGTCAGCTGTACTAATGAGAGAGGAGTGCGAAACAGGTAACTGCAAGGACAGAAATGCCAGGTGTTTGGAGAACTGAACTATCAGTTTATTCACCCCAGCATGAACAGGCCTTACTACCACAAACTGTCAATTCATCATAATACACAATGACCAGTTAGATATCCTGAGCCAAAATTATATCAACAACAAGCAACAAACTGGTGTGACTACAATCCAAGACATTAAAATGGTAATGTGTCAGGGCAGATTGTTCTTATGTGTTTCGACAAAAGAATGATCAGCATGCACCCAAACTAGGTGATCGCCATACACCAAGACAAGACAACCGAATGATCGCCATATACACAGCACAGGTGATAGATTTTTATTGACAGCTCAGGTAATTATTTTATTACATATAAATCCTTCCTGAAAAGGAAGCAGGTCCTTAGCCTATTGCAAAAAAAGTCTGGTTTGTTGGAAGATCCTTAGAATCAACAATGAAGACTTTGTTGTAGCTAAAATTTTGAAGGTTCTGAAAGTGGACTTTCAGTAACTTTAAATATCCCACAAGTACTTCCAATCCCTAATGAAGGGGAACCCCTGAAATACATTGGATTGTACGTTTGGTTTTTCTAATTCAAATAAATTGCCATGGTTTCTCAACATACTGCCTGGCACTCGTTTCTCTGTAATCTTTTGGATTTAGCCTGAATTGTCCTCTAGAGGGTTCTTGGTGTCTGTGATCTGTCAGAGCCCCTGTATTGTACAATATAGATCAGGGATGCTCAACCTTTTGAGGGCCACTTAAGTGATTTGGTAACAACAATCAGGATCATCATTTTCCATGGAACCAATCCCCATTGGATGTTTACCCACTCTATATTCACAATCACAAAGAGTGGATGACTTTGTTAACTTTTTACAAGGACTCTATGTCTATTTCAGCGGTTGCAGGAGAAAAATGGAAAGGATTGGTTCCTGAATATGTCGCCCCACAGCGGGTTAGCTGTGCTTGGCCACAGACTTCTATTATATCTTGCGAGTGTGGTGCACTTTCTAAAAGCACCCCAAAACTCCTGCATTCAGGAGTTTTGGTGCGCTTTCAGAAAGCGCACCAAACCTTCAGGATATAATAGAAGTCTATGGCTCAGTGCAGCTAACCCACAGGAAAGCCACAGATGCACTGAGCTGCACCCATTGATCAGTGTGAAAGCAACCTAAGAGTTAACCATTTTATAGGTGCTAATATATCTACTGCAACAGCGCAGTGTATGTGTTTAATACATCGACTTTCTTTCCCTCTTCCAGCTTCTGCCAGCACCGCTCTCCAAGCTTAAAGAAAGGTCCCGAGTGAAGTGCACTTGGTATCACTCTGCCTGGGACAGAAGCTGGAGCTACAGGGCAAGCATTGACTTATGCAGCTCCTGCTCCCTTCACGGCCGCCTGCTTCCTCTGCTGGTACCGGCTCCATACACTCTGATGCTCTGAAATAGCTGGTTGGCAACCCATTGATCACAATCTGGGCTCGCCAACCTGCCATCCAAGAGCATAGGCATGCGTTTCCCCCGCTCTGAGGTCTCAGGCCACGGGTTTAGCACCCCTGATATAGATGTTATAGATCCAGCACCTCTCATCTCAACAGAGGTTTATGAATATATAATGTTATTTTATGTACTTTGCAAATTACTCATATGATGGTGGCAGATAATATGTAATGAAAACAGTGCTGGCAGGCACAGAGCACATCCACACATATTAAGGGGGCTTTAATAAACAATTTGAGAATGTTCACACAATAAAGTGTGGGATGATTCCTTTCAATTGTCCTATCATGTGGAAAGAACATCCCTGTTTACTTATTTCATCTGTACATGAATGGATACCTGCTATAAATATCCATACATTTTATTGTGTGAACATTCATAACCCTAATAAATCAGCCATTAAAGTGTGTACGATTGTTTGATTTTAATTTACCCCATCGGTCCATGCATAGACTTTTTATGGAAAGGCGGGTGTCAGCGGCAAATAGTCCACTGACTCCCTCTGGCATCCGATCCAATCTTGTACACCAAAAACAGAAGGATGGGGATCCGTTCCCCATCTGTCCAGCGGATTGGATTGGATGACAATCGGTTGGAAATGGACAGGCGATTCCTTTCCATCCGACCGT